AACTTCCCCTGTACATTCCTTAGCTATATATATATATATACATATATATATATATATATATATATATATATATATATATATATATATATATATATATATATATATATATATATATATATATATATATATATATATATATATATATATATATATATACAATATTTGACGGTGACGCCGGCGGTGAAATTCAGCCGAGAGTGTTCATAAAATTACTATCGCAATAAAAGTTTGTAGTGAGAAGAAGCGTAGTTGCTGCTGTTGGATTTTAGAGCGTAAAGATTGCTTACCAGCGCAAACGACAGGGCAGGAGGGGACAGGAGAAGAGACGAGACAGACCGCTGAACTGTCTAGCGTAGTTGAGCATAGTCTGAGCGTAGTTCGGGTGCTTCTTCGCGGTCCAGTTCCAGTGCGTCCGTATATGCTTTATCAAGGAATGTGTTAGGATGGTTTCTGTCTGATAGTGTTTCTTTTAGGGCGCTAAGCCTGTTTATGTAATGCTCGTTTTCTATAGATATGCGGCGTAACCTTGTTGCCTGACTTTATAAAATGCCCTGTTTAGACTGTGTCGGGTGGTGGCTTGTATAATCTAGCGATTGTTGGTTGTCAAATAGTTTTTTATACAGAGTTGTCTTTAGCACACAATTTTCAAGATATATGACCACGTCTAGAAAGTCGATGCGCTGAGCTGAGGTATTGAAGGTGGACTTTATTGTATATTACAAGGAGTTTAGGAGTGAAGTGAATTTATGTCGATTATGCTCCCCATGTACCCATATTAGCTCCTGTTCTTTTTTGTTTTTTTTTCTCCTTTTTTTTCGTTTTTTAACCTTGACGTCCCAGCTGCCTTCCTCCCGCCTTTTCTTTCCTCCTTTTTTCCCTTTACTTTTTTGTTTTTTTCATCGTTGCTCACTTTCTTTGCATTTTAAATTTACCTTTTTCGCAAACAACATCCAACATTTCTGATGATTTCGCCAAATTACCAGAAAATTGCGCTGAGCGGGCCCACCTACGGGGATACTGGAAACATTTTTTCGAACGACCTTCGCCATTAAACACGCGCTCTTCCGTCTCCATCCGGGATCGCTTACCTTCGACATCTTGGCATTTAAAAGTACGCCTCCTGCTTCCCCGCCCCTCACCCTTTTAGTACAAACTTTTTTGTCATGCGTTCCATTCATAGATGTTCGGAAACAGGCGTAAGCCGCTATCGTCAGTGACCCTTTGCGGTGGGCGAATGGGGCGACTGTCTGCTTGATTCAAACATTCAAGCTCTTTCCTTTTTTTTACCCTCTGAGAACATTTTGAACCACTACCACCGAACTTGAAATGAAGCGGGAACTGCAGTCCTCTACTTTATAATTTCTTTATAGTTTCTTTCCCTTTCAGACAGCAATTGTCAACAGGGACACGCGCCACCACTATGAGATGATGTCCCCACTAACCCCCTTAAAAGTAACACGCCAAGAATGACAAGGCGTCTTTGACGAAGATAGGTCCTTCTATCGAAAAGTCACCCAGCCTGCCTGCTGCACGCTCACCCTGTCTGCGCCACCCTCTGGGCGTTCTTCTCAGTGCCGTCTCTGTCAGCGTGTTCCACATAGTAGTCCTGGTCATATGTTTTCGCCAACTGCTGCAGAATATCTCGGATTGCTATGCAGCTTTGTTGAATATCAAATGCAGTTACGGCAGAGTTGTGAACTGATGAGCAGTCATTTATTGAATTAGGTGGCATGCCTCCATACTCATGCACACTGTTTCTCTAGAAAAAGTGTTTTCTAAATGTTTTTCAAACTTCTCTAATTATTTTACATATACCAGTTGCCATGTATACGTAGCTTTAGGCGCAAATAGCGTGAAAAGAGGCCTTGTGCCCCAACAATTTGTGCAACTATTCCCCGCCGTGGTGGTCTAGCGGCTAAGGCACACACTTGCTACCCGAAGGTCACGGGATCGAATCCAAGCTGCGCGGCGGAATTTTCCATGGAAGCGAAAGTATTAGGGCCCCTGTACTTAGATTTACCTGCATGTTAAAGAACCCCAGGTGGTCAAGATTTACGGAGTCTGCACTGCGGCATCTTTCGTAATATTACGGTAGTTTCGGGACGTTAAATCCTAAATAATATTAGCATTTTTGCAACTATGCTGTCGAGCAGTTTATGGCCGCTTGGCCTAAGCCACCCGCAATATTTTGTAATCTTCGAGATGCGAAAATTACGCGGATGTTGATGAAAGCAATATGTTACGGGTGCGTGCACTTAGGTTTGGTTGCACGCTTTAGAAAACATATTCAAAGTTTTCGGAGCTCCACACTTCTGCGCTCCTAATCATCATATCGTAGATTTACAACGTGAAAATTTCACCAATAATAATACAGAAAGTGTACTAGCTGGTTTGGCTGCACCCTGAAACTTTTTCGCACACAACACGAAGGCATAAAGGAAAGGTTCACAGGGAACAGTACAGACTGCGCTGGTCCTTTTGAATGTTTGGTCTGTGTGTTCGTGTTGCGTGCGCCGAAATATAAGTATGTAGCTGTCTTTTTAAGTTTGCGCGCAGCACACGTACTCTAGTTAATTTGCGAGCTTAGGCGTGCACCAGCGAAAACGCTGGAAGGTATGATCAGTGCTGTACAGAATCAACACGCGTTCTGCCGATGGTCAGATTACCGATTTTCAACGACACTTATTGCCGCTATCAGAGTACAGCGCAATCTGCTTGTACCTTCAAGGTGCCTACCTTTCTGGGAACAAGTTAGGTAATCAGGGAGTTTCATCTCTACGAGAGAGACTGCTGCTTTCTTCATTACCCCGAGTACGATGAACTACAGTAGGCCTGAGGCGTTGCGAAGATGCACATGTTATCTTGCTAAAAAAAGTGTTTTCAAGTTAGTGAGTACATAAATAACGATTTATTTACGCCAGCAGATAACAACAGTAAGCATAGTATCAGCAGCTGTATGCGCTCTGCGTAGGCGTGTTGCACAACGTTCCACAAAAATGTCCCTATAAGCATATTTCCTGCTCTACACTGGCGATTCAGTATCGCAAATTTGCCTTTTAATGATAAGTTAACACTCTACATTGGTATTTGCGCCATCGTGCGAAGCCATTTTATGGAGGCTCGTAAGGTTAGATGGCAATCCACTGGCTGGTCTGCAAGCTCAGCACCGACTACCATAAATTACAGAATTGATTGATTTGTGGGGTTTAATGTCCCAAGACCACCATATGATTATGAGAGACGCCGTAGTGGAGGGCTCCGGAAATTTCGACCACCTGGGGTTTTTTAACGTGCGCCCAAATCTGAGCACACGGGCCTACAACATTTCTGCCTCCATCGGAAATGCAGCCGCCGCAGCCGGGAGTCGAACCCGCGACCTGCGGGTTAGCAGCCGAGTACCTTAGCCACTAGACCACCGCGGCGGGGCCATAAATTACAGAAATGGCAAGGAAGAACCGCTCTCAGAAGTAGCACAGAACTGTTCTGTTAAGCCGTTAAAACAAGCCCTGAAAAGTTCTTCGGAAGTAATCTTATTTTCTCGACAAAACGCTTGAGCTACAAACAGACTTTTCAGTAAAGTGAATTTGGGCGCAATTTAGAATTTTGAAGCAGTATTTTCTCTGTATAGGTGTTCGCTACCAGATATTGGGGTCTGTAACAAACTTGCGAATGTATTGAAGTATTTTAAAATAGATTTGTCAAGTACTGTGTCAGATACAATTTTCGCAGCAGTACCTTGCATCCGTATTTCCAATACTGTTTGCCGGAGTAGGTTGTATTGTATCCCGGTGTAATTTCAAAGTATATGCGCCCAGCCGTGGAATGACCAGCAATGACGAACGATGGTTTAGTCTTACGTTTATTTTTAATTTGGTGTATCGTGTGTCATTTACCTTAAGCATTCAATCGTTGCACTTGTCTGTCCTGAAATTGCTAGTTTACTGTATGTTCAGAATTTCGAAGCACATTCTTACACCTGTTTCAGTGTTGATTGTGACCCACACGTACTCTTGCACAAATGTTAGCAATTCTTTAGTGTAGAACAGTAAATTCTTCTCCTGGTGTCAAAAATTAAATTTGATGACATTGAAATTTGATGAAAAATGACAGTACGACATCATTTCTCTGAAGCATGATGAAACTACGCAGTGATTATTCAAATTTCTTTTTACCAAACGCATGTGTCAGTTGTCAAAGTGGCAAAAAAATTGAAGTGGAAAGTGTCAGTTCAAATGTATTGAAAGCAATGAACGTATCTTGAAGTTCTTTCAAACAATTAGCTGCTGAAAATTACGTCTCCAAGAGTTAGACACTGCAAGAACCAAATAACAACGTAGGACAAAGAAAGGAAAACACGATGACAGGTGTTGTCAGCTGTCAGTGGCCATATTGCTGTTTTTTTTCTCCTTTGTCCTCTGTCTCTGATATTAATTTGCATTTTGTATGCTTACCAACCAGCCCAGCTTTCTCCGCTTACTTCATGATACAAGCAGCGCGCTGCTGTTTTCTGGCTTTGTGCTTTTAAGTAGGACCAAAAAGTTCTTTGTTGAACGTTTCAGTTCGCATTCTTGAGGACTCTCTATTAGGAAAAGTAAATCGCAGCCTTTCGGATGTAATGTGGAAACGACCAACTGTTCAACACTTATAAATAATAAACTACAATGGCAGCTACATGAGAAGTATGAAGAGCAATAAGACATAATAAAAAGCAGCATCTACAAAGCTGCAAACTAAACAACTAAAGGCTATTCATGGTGGCGCGCAAGTGATTAAATATCACCATAGGTATTGAAAAAGTCAGTCATTGTACTTCATTTAAAAGCCTGTATATACTATTTTTTGATAAGAACGTCTGGCGTTTCTTCATTTCCCGATGTCATACCTAAAGGATTTTCGGTACGATCTAAAGGTACCGCTAATGCTGCCAGTAAAATATTTTGTGAAATACGAGATACATGAACAGTTCAGTGTAATAATACCACATTGTTGTCAATACTCACGTGTCTTGAACAATGTCCACAACATGCAATTCTTTGTGGTATCCTTCCAACGTAGTGTCGCCAATGGTGTACAAGAACTGTCCTCGGAAATCAGAAGCAAACCGAAGTGCCTCGTTAGAAGAGATTTCATAAAGTTGCGGATTTCTTCCAATCAGGGGCATGGTGCAGGCGTATGTCTTCACACCTGAAAAAAATTGCGGACACCTTTTTCGTCTGCTTTCCATATCATTTAGCTGTCTTTTTCATAGAAACGCTGGCTCCGTGTTGCCTATTGGAAACTCAATACTACACAGTGAAACGTGTTCTAATGCCTCGCTCATACCTCACAGCAAAAACCAATGTATTTTAAAAAGCGCAGTCATATTTGATTTTAAAAAGCTAGTATCATTCTTGATAACTGCTTGTTTTCTTTATAATATTGCAAAGCAAATCTTCTTGGGCATGAGAACGCGCGGGTGCTCAAAGAAATGTGAGTGTAGACTTCTGAGCTGCATGGGACAAAATATATTCCGCTCATGGTAGCAGCTTCGCCACGACTGCTTTCTGCTGGTCTAATGCTATGTATGGGCCATACTGATATAGTACGTTTATAGATGCAGAGGAATGTGAAATTTCGCATTTGCTGTCTACAGATCAATTCTGCAATGCAGCGCTGCAGTGTATGCAGTAGAAACCAATCGAGACGAACAAAGCTCATTGTGCTGTGTCACCACAGTAACATTTTCTGGAATGAACCATCGAAAAGTAGCAGCAATTTGAGAAGCAGGCAGTGTGGCTGCTGGGCTGCAAATGTCTTCGCAAAATACAAGAGTACCCCACCTTAACGCACTTTCGCATGCTTAATTTCTCAGCCATTATCGTCTTCAGTACACACTTGCCGCTCACTCAAATAAGTGCTCCCGAGTACAACGTGAAAATACATCAGATAAAAAATGTGCGTGAACTGCTGAGCCCACTCAATTACAAATGTTGGCTCCACCAACTTTGCTCACTTCACCTCTGTACAACCATGCTTAAGCTCCATGTTCCTGTGAATACCTGTTTCGTACAGCAATGTTTGAAACTGTGAGTGATCTTTTTGTGAAACCCACGAAACATCGCATTGTTTTTTTTTTCAAAGTTCAAACTTTAGTCATTTCTGGAAGTAGCTCAACAATCAATATTATTTTCTAAAAGATCCTATTAGAACTCGAAAGTGGACTTCAAGTTATGACTCTGGCTGCAAGTATAGAAGCACACCAATTATTAAACGAATAAAGCGTGCCTGCATTTCGCCCTGGGAGAGGGAATGTACAGTGAAGCTGACTACGCAATCTTCTCAGGGGTGTAACGAGTGCCCATTTGCAAAATGAATTAAACATACTAAGATGGCTGCAATAGTTCCCCTTCTGGCCTCAAGGAACACAAAAAATGTGGTTGTACATCACAAGAGCAAAGTACAAACAAAATAAATCATTTTAAATGCTTTATTTAGTTATCAATAGAATGCCCTGATCATGGTTTTTGGGCTACTGTGATGAAGTGCGCGGAATTTAAACCGGGTGGAATGCGCGGAACTTTAAACGGGGTGAGCGTAAGTTGAAGTGTGCGCCATGTCTCCTTCTCTCTCTCTAAGGATATGCTGGCAGGCGGCACAAGTTTAACGGCACTGCATAAAGCACACCTTTGCTGTGCAAATCGGCCACCTTTGTATGTGCCCTGAGCTTGGCTTCGTCTTTAGCGCAGCCCAGGAAGACGACAACAAGGTTCTAATTTGAACCTCTGCTTCATTACCCATTGACGCTACACTTCACTGACAACAAAGCAATTGTCTTCGAGATACAGCGTGCACCGACGTTATGTTCCACGTACAATCTCTGGATAACGACGGAACAATACTCGACAAACGCCTCCTCCCTTCTCAATACAATCTCTCATCTTAACTTTCATTGTGCTGGGTTGACAAGTGAAATGAGGTGGCAACAACTTCATACACAACCCTCGCGATAGTTTCAAAACCCACCATGGCTGCCCCTAGGGAGAGATGTGTAATTCTTTTCATAGTGACCCTCCAAGAGCCCTATCACTACCGGCATTAGCAGCGCATTTTCTGCAGACCGATGAAAACTTAAGTGTGGACTGAGTGAAGACAATGGCATCTTTTTTGTACACGTTGTGTGGCACGATGAAAGAATCGCCTTTGGGTGCTTGCAAACTTGTACAAAGAATAACGTTGTAAGTGTCGAGAATTTGTGAGGGATGTTTTCGCATTTATTTCCACTGTAAGCCTAGCCTGTGCGGCTAAAGTTTTGAACCTGACGTGAGTAGGTTTTTTGCAATTGTACACGGCAAATTGTACACGGCACCCGTGTACAATTTCAGCTTTTTATGGGTTTAGGATCACTTATGACAGCACTAAGTATTTGTGGCTGTATGCTGTCGATTTGTTGCTTTAGCTCGACTTTTACGTTTCTATGGAGGTGGACTGTTTCAAAACCCACCATGGCTGCCCCTAGGGAGAGATGTGTAATTCTTTTCATAGTGACCCTCCAAGAGCCCTATCACTACCGGCATTAGCAGCGCATTTTCTGCAGACCGATGAAAACTTAAGTGTGGACTGAGTGAAGACAATGGCATCTTTTTTGTACACGTTGTGTGGCACGATGAAAGAATCGCCTTTGGGTGCTTGCAAACTTGTACAAAGAATAACGTTGTAAGTGTCGAGAATTTGTGAGGGATGTTTTCGCATTTATTTCCACTGTAAGCCTAGCCTGTGCGGCTAAAGTTTTGAACCTGACGTGAGTAGGTTTTTTGCAATTGTACACGGCAAATTGTACACGGCACCCGTGTACAATTTCAGCTTTTTATGGGTTTAGGATCACTTATGACAGCACTAAGTATTTGTGGCTGTATGCTGTCGATTTGTTGCTTTAGCTCGACTTTTACGTTTCTATGGAGGTGGACTGACAACGGTCGCTTTATTTTTCCGTTTCATGGGTCCCAATAAAGGCATCTCCAAGAGCACACCTCTCATCTTTTGGGATACCTTCACATTGGCAATTCATGTGATGTTGAGGAAGAATATGACAAGTCTGGTGGCAGCTGTGATAAGAGGACGAAGTGCTTGTTGCTTTAAAAGACAGCCAAACAAGCGTTTGTTTTTCAAGCTATAACAAACTAACTCCAACAGCTCATTATAATTTATTGTTTTCTGCCCACCACGTGAAAATTTTGACTATCGATGAGTGGGTAGCATAAACAAAAAAGCAGGCTTAAGAACAGTCAAATTTTCACTGAGATGACCATCCACTTTACTGATGTGTGTTCTGTTAAATGACAATCAAAGAGCAACCATAAAAAGATATGACGACTAAGTATTGCTTGAGCAGTGTGATCGGGTACGTGTGTCTTCTCATATTTAATGACTGTAATCGTTTCGCAGAGTAAATAGTTATTTTTGCTTACAGTACAAAGCACCTTTCTACTCTTTACATCTTGTCAGATTCACTGGTGCCAGAAGCTCTGCAAAACTCAAGAGTGCTGGCATCTACAGACTGGCAGGAAGTGACCCCATAAACCGCTGATGGAGTAATAAGGCACTGATAATATATTGCGAGTCAGAAAGGGTGCGGTATTGAAATTTAGTCGCCGCAGTGATCCTATGTCGTGGTCGGTCCACATTGATGGAAGGTTTGAGGAGCTGCTCTCATCAAGTACTTCTAAAAAGAACTCAAAGAAGGCCATGTTGTGTTTCTGCTACCGTGCTGTGGTTGGTGCTCATTGTCTTATCAAGAGCGTCTGTGCAAAGTATTTGCTACACAAGCTATTTTTTGCTTTTGGCCCACAGAAGTCCCAAAGAAATGTCTGTCTTTTCTCTTTCAGGGAAATATGCAGAAAAGATCGCCTTTATCCCAATAAAAGCAAGCCCCATCGTCGACCTTCGAAAAGACAAGCATGACAAAAGCATTCAGAGTAAGATTTTTTGAACGTGTTGTGGTGATAGTATAGGTAACAAAGACGTGTAGTTGAGCTGAGTTTGCAGCGCATGGCCTTTGAACACAAAAGCAGTCTTTGAAATTGGTAAATGGTAAGCAATGTAAACAATTCCCATTAGGTTTTACATATAATTATAAGCTGTTGACTGGGCGCATTGGCGGACTGAATAATGTACTTGAGAATGTATGAAAAACTGAACGAATGGGTTGCTGATAAGATTTACCACTTTTTTAAATACACCTGACACTCACAATGTCGAGCTGCCTAAGCATTATTTTCAACAATATACATAAACCTTCCATAAAGATTACAAGAACATAATTTGTAACACCATCCTAATGTGTAAATTAACGTTCTGAATACTTTGAACCAGTATTTATCAATGGTTACTTTATGAGGTGAACACAACGTTACTCCTTAAAATGCAATAACATTAAAATATATTACAATTCGAATAGTATTTGAATGTTGAAGCTGAACATAAACGTAACGCCGTTGTACCAGCTTTATAGACCTTATTATTAGGAGTGTTTAGGAATGTTTGCCCATTAAGCACTCAGAGAAAACTCTACGATTTTTTTTTTCACTAGTCGGACGCGTTACTGAACCTCCATGAAGTGTTTGTTGGTTCACTCACCTGAATTACGACAAAAACGAGAGAAGACGCAACAGCTCCACGCATTACAAAAAAAGACCCCACTCGACGGTGCTATTGTTTTCTGAATTGCCAAGAACGTAAAGGACTCCCTTTTTATTAATTTCGTAGCTTTCGCGAAGCAGAACGACGAGAGCACTGTATACGAGCCGTTCCAATCGTGCTGATTAAGCGAATGGCATTCTGTATAGCCGGCCGCATAAGAAAATGTGATAATGTTGGTCTCTTGGTCTTGTGTTGAGTAGCCTTAACGGTCAACTGTGATAACTTTGGTTATGAAGCTTAACGAACCCTCTGACCGCGGTGCGCACCATGCAACGCCAGACAAGTGACGCCTTCGATAAACATAAAAAACGCCGCAACCACCGATAATCTGAAATTCTTGCCTCCACACAGCATTACGAACGTAGAGATTTGACGGCAATAAGTTCGTGCTTTACCTTGGAAATAGGAACAAGTGCGTCATACAAGTAAATCGCAAAATGATCGTTAGCAAGACCGGGTTTTTTTAGCATTTGGTCTCCGCGATTGCGGAAGCTATCTCGGAGGCCGCGGTTTTGCCTTTCGTTTTTCGCCGAGAAAATGATTCATTGATATGTGGGGTTTAACGTCCCAAAACCACCATATGATTATGAGAGACGCCGTAGTAGAAAGCTCCGGAAATTTCGACCACCTGGGGTTCTTTAACGTGCACCCAAATCTGAGCACACGGGCCTACAACATTTCCGCCTCCATCGGAAATGCAGCCGCCGCAGCCGGGATACGAACCCGCGACCTGCGGGTCAGCAGCCGAGTACCTTAGCCACTAGACCACCGCGGCGGGGGCACCGAGAAAATGAATGAGCGCGCATGTATTCACTATTGCAGTATATAAAAAAAGACAACTGTCAACAAAAGATTCTAGCATGCGTAATAAAAGAGTTCAACGCACAAGAAGCCACACATCAATGGAAGATGCAACTGCAAAGGCGGAATTTGCCAGGGCTATTTGTACCAGATAAAACGACCTTAGTACTATTGATCTTAAGGATGATTGCTCGTCTGTATACACTTAATTGCTTCGGAATCATCTTTATGACCAATTTTAATGCATCTAGACGGTACAGAATGCACGCCTGAGTGCTTGCCTCGAACTCTGAATGACATGATGCTCGCTTGCACATAAAATGCAACTTGCCGCACGTCGAAATAACTGAAGCAACTTTTGTTGTATTGTACTTGCAGTTCAATTTGATGACCTTTCTACTTTTCTGAAGCGAGGTTGGATTGAATGAAGACGCTTGCCATATCCTTCAATTTCAGGAAACTGCGCCTCGAAACCAGCAGAAACGAGGTCCTATGCACGTTCGCTTTCAGACGACTCTCTGCACTACTTATTTATGACCGGTGCGGCGATGGAGGTGCTGGTGTCAACGTTTTTCGCAGCGCCACTTGGGCAGAGTCTGGCGTCTATTTGGGTGAAAGTGTACAGCCACTGTTAAAAAATAAATGCTAAGAACACTTCACAAAAATACAAACTCATCATGGTGGCCTGCCACGTATTTCACCTTATGTTTACACTGAAATTGCTTCAAAACGCCAATTGTCATAGTTGTGCTTCTGCACAGACTTCTGGGCAGATAAACTCTTTGTTCTCACCTTGAAAGCGAACGAGTGTTTTCTTTGACTCCGCAGGTCGAAAGTCGGCAACATTTATGCCTTCGCACCAGTAATAACCCTGCAAGTAAGGATTCTCTGGTGTAGTTCTCTCGATAACCAGCGTGGTATCATTGCCGTCCGCTGTCCTGACCCGGTCACCTTGTACAGCGATGCCGTCCTTGTACCAGAGGAGGCTACCGGGAATGATTTCAGCTGAGACGCGGCACGTGAGCACTACACGCTGGCCCCTGTCTCGGCGCTCAACACGCAGCCATGGTGTACCTGTCACAAGAATGTGCATTTTAGGGGCGGGCAATTTAGGGGTGAGGCTTGTCCGTGCGCATACTATGACAAAATAAATCATTAACAAAAGGTCAACAAGAGGAACACTACGCATATAATAATGAAACATCACAACAACGTAAAAACGCCGACATATAAGCACCCTATGATCAAAGCAAATGACAAAACGAAAGGTTAAGAAGAACAAATAAATTGTCAACACCGTAAAAACACCGACATTCAGGCATCCACAATTACAATAAAGCACACGTCAAAACGTTACTCAATAATAGACTACTATTGATCATAATGGTGACGGAACAATATACACATCTACAAGCCTAAACCCTTTAGACCAGTTGGCGACTTCAACGTAAATAAGTACCTTAGGACCTAGTTTTGAGGACGACTCTTTATGTGACTTATGTGACTCAATTTACTTCACATGGCGTGACTCTGTAGTAACAATTTGTTGCTCAACAATACGATACACAGAGCTTAAATGACTCGGTATAATTCGCTTTGGCGAGATGCCTGCAATACTTTATTCAGCACACCTACAATCACATTATGAATATAAATTATTCAGTTATTTAGTATTTAGCATGAGGCAACAGAAAAGTCTTTTTTTCGTCTGTTTTAAATCTTCCCTGACCAGATGATATCATTTTCACGAGTGTTCCTTTCTTTCAATTTTTTATGTTACCATCCCTCTACATATGAAGCTTAACCTTCAGCAAACCACATTATCGTGACATTGCAGGTCATTTGACAATCTTTATGATTGTACATACAACGGCAGCATTAGAGTTTCTTTTGAAATTTATGCGGATACGAAACTTTTGGGGCACATGCTTAAGTACCATCGTCTTTTACTACTTGGCAAATGATCAACCGCCGATACCAAATACGCCACTATTAGTGTAGAACGTGCAATACCTCTAGTTTAAATTTTTATTTCCCCGGTACTACTGCACCCAAACATAAAGTTTCGTATTTACCAATGTGCTTGCTGCTTTCGTCAACGTCACTAGCACGTGGAAATGCATAGACGTATAGGACAAAAATAAATTAGAACCGTCGATACCAACAACAACTAGACAAACAACAACAACAACAATAATATTAATAATAATAAGAAGAAACATGATGCTCCTACTCAGAGCATATACAGACATCATCTGCACAAACCAGTCCAGTGTTCGGGGACTGTCATCATCATGTTCATTGTCTTCAGTGTCATCATCATCATCATGGCATATGATGGTTATCTGGTATGTAATGTGCCGGAACCTGGCGTGTGGGTTAAGTTGGTATAACGTGGGTTATTCTTGAATGGGATGTGCCGGCCTGGAACGCGCTGCTTCTTTATTGTCTTTAGGATCATCGTCAATCTCAGTTTTGGCCACGGCTTATGCCAACGCCGGGCAATAGACAAGCTCTGACCTGAAGGAGCTCCGCTCCTTATACTAATACGGGCTAAAACTACCACATGATTATGAAGTATGCCTCAGTGGAAGGAATAGGTTGATAAACTCACGCACGAGTCAACTCACTTGAACTCGCTCAGACCCAGATCAAGCCGAGAGTCTGAACCTGAGTGAGCAAGGGCGAGTTTTATTTCGGTTAGTCTGAGTTAAAGTGAGTCCGCTTGAAAAAAATATTTGTGATTGCGAGTCCAAGTGAATTCCGCCGAATAAAATTTTGGTGAGTCTACGTCCGAGGGAGACCAAGCGCAAGATATATTTCTTGAGTGAGTATGAGTAAACTCCACTTTTTTTGCGATGTATGGTCCTATCTACTCATCTTCAGCATTACTCTCAGCATTACTAGGAATCACATTTATACTCTCGTCTACTAACTCGTAGTCGAAAAGAGTATCGTTCATGCATTATTACAATATTTATTGATGACATGTGTGAAAACTTAAGGGGCTTCTTGGACATCCTCCCCGTAACTTTTCCAAACAAGTTCTTGATAAACATATATATTACGTTGATATCATTTCCAAGACGAATGACCTTACGGGTCAGCGAGATTTCACAATTAGCTTTCGAAGGTACTGTATCGAAGGTGGCCAAGAACAGTTCCGATTACGCGAGAAATTGCCATTATAGAACATTGAAGCCATCGTTGGAAGAGGTGCTCGACTCATGAGTCGACTGAATGGGACTCACCCAGACTCAGATTTAGTAGTGAGTCTGAGTCAGAGTGAGTTCTGCAGAGCAACGTTTTTATGACTTTAAGTCCAAGTGAGTCCGTTTGAAGAAACATTTCATGAGTGTGGTTCTAAATGTGTCCTCCTGAGGAACTTTTTGGTGAGTCTGTGTCTGAATAAGTCCGAAGCCCTAAATATATTTTGTTGATTTGATTTGATTGATATATGATATTTAACGTTCCAAAACCACCATATAATTATAAGAGACGCTGCGGTGGAGGGCTCAGTAAATTTCGAATGCCTAGGGTTCTTTAGCGTGAACCCGAATCTGAGAACACGAGCCTACAACATTTCTGCCTCCATCGTAAATGCAGCAGCCGCAGCCAGGAATTGATCCCGCAACGTGCGGGTCAGCAGCTAAGTACCTGAGCCACTGGACCACCGTGGCGGGGCCCAAAATATATTTCGTGAGTGAGTATGAGTGGGCTCCACAAGTTTTGCGATCTATGGTAGAGGGTTTCGGAAAATTCGCCCAAAATGTGTTTCATGACCCGAGTTCACATCACACAGCACACAGGGTTCTACCATTTTTGCTCCACTGAAATGCGACCACTGGGGTCGGGATTTACCTAAAGACCTACGTGCCAGGAGCCAAAATCTGTAAACACTGATTCACCACGGCGGAACGAAGGCAGTGAGGAAGATTGATCTTGCTGTAAAATAAGGTAGGTGATTTGACCTGAAATAAGCATCCTGTAATGACATGTTCTCTTGGTCGTATTTGGAAAGCTTCATAGTAAAAATAACTTAGCAGGACTGAAGCCACACCTGTGTTGTAATAGGCTGCCGACAAAATCTTTTTATCAGGTCGGTAAGGGGATGACACAGAGAATCCTCAAAGGAATCCTCCAATGCTACCCAAGCCACAAAGTTTTACTAGTGGGCTGCTTAGAGTGAAGAATGAAAAGAATAATAGCGCGATAACTCCTCTGATATGGGCAGATAGACTGATGTTACTCGACCTAAAATTTCGAACGGCAAAAACATAAAATACTTTATTCTTCGTGGGGTCACATGACCACATTTCACTCAACACTGGCGGTGTAAAACGCCGCCAACAAATTGAGCTGTAATATCTTACGATAGGTAAGCTTCTACATTATCGTTGCTATTCCATCTATTGCGGTGATCAGCCCGTTACCACAGTAACAAACAACAAAGCGCCAGACTCCTCTGGCTGTGAAAAAAATTACCGCCCACGCATTCTATACGAATCGTTAACCAGCAAGGGCGAAACTTCCGGCCATAAATGGATTCAGACGCCACAGCAAAAGCCGGTGGAGAAACTCCGGCCAAAAGTGGGCGTCGGTCAATTCTTGGAACGCGTTTAAGTTGCCCTGTGCTGCATAATATGCTGTTTCTTCACTTGGATGTGACTCGGAAGCCTCTCCGATCATACACCACCCGGTACAGTGGTTTTGCCCGGACAACTGCATCTGTTTCAGCGAACATTGACTGTCTCACTGATCCACTGTAGATCCTTCTATAACACTGTAGCTGAGAGGCGACGCGTGCGCACGCCGACAGGGTAGGGCCGAATTATTTCCTTTCCCATCATCTCTGCTTCATTTTTTTTTGGAACGACAGGACCTCTGTTTTTTTTTTGTGTTTTATCGAAATTTTTCTTTACTTTCACTGTCTCTTCAGTCCCCGTTCCCCTTTAAGTGTATCGGCTGAGGTTCCGTCTTCTGAGAGGCAGTTATTGCACACTACACTTCCATTTTTTTATGTTTCGGTTTTTCCTAAAATGAAATCACTCGACCCCCCCCCCCCCACCCCCGCTAACCGCATGGTGCCGAATCAGTAACTCCTTTTCCATATTACGTTTTCCTCCTCTCTCACATCTACATTCTTTTCTTTCCAAGTCCCAATCTACGTGCGGCGCTCATGAAGTGACACACTCTCAGAGATTGCGCTGAACATTTTAAAACTTCCTTGAAGGACACTGTGTTAGAACTGATGCACGCACTCTGAGCGTCATGCACAGCTGCAAATGAATAAACGTTCTGGCTTATGAGACTAACAATGACGCACACTTGTTGCGACGTAGCGAAAAACGTAACTGACGAATTAGCCAATGAAGACCTTTAGCTCTTCTCGTACAGAACACTTTTACATTTGATCTAGCCATAAACAGGGTATTTCAAGAATGCATTCAGTATACTTTAAAACCAGGAAAATGCGCTATTTGCTCGATGTCTTCAAAGTTTCCTTCTATATTGTGGCAAGGACCCTACCGGGGTTGAAGATGTTATTTGTAACGATAATTAGCAAAGTTAAAACCCTTAACTTTTTAGTTAATGGGGTTAGAGAGTGAAGTAAAGTGAGATAAATGAAGTCCTTCATGTGAAAAACCGATTGTCGTTTTGAGTAGTCAGAAAAGCGGCCTTTCGTAATAACTGGGTAATAAAAAAACTCTGCACAAGTTTGCGGTAAAACCTAAACCAATACGCGAAAGTGCGCAAGTGAATGCGGGAACGTTGTTACATCAACCTTCAAGTGTTTGGGCACCGCTCGTACATGCAGAACGCATGACACTCATACGTTATCGACTGGGGAAGAACTTCAGCTCTCTAATCACTGTTTTGAACACTGACGTCATTGTAGTCGTCTGTTTAACGCGCTCTTTGGCCCGTCAGTTTCGGTTTCGCCACATAATTTAGGAGAATTTCACCAGTTAGTAGCTATTAGTAGAGGCTGCTTTTCTGTAATCGAAGTAGCAATAGATTTTTTGGAACAAAGACTTCTATTCTCCGAAATTTCTTGACTGCAAAACTCCGCT